CAGTATAGCTAAGTTCAAAGCCTCACAATGGTGTGCTCTCTCCAATCTCTTTGCAAATTATTCTCCTAGCATGATTTGTTCTAATTGGGAGGCTTTTTTGTGTAATGTTTAAGCTTTATTTATTAAGTTTGGTTTGTTTGTATCTTTTTTATTTTTATTTTTATTTTTTTTCCTTCTTCATCCCCTTCCTTTGGGGGTTTGTATCTTTGAACAATTTTTGTTCTTTTTCATTTATCAATGAAAAGTTCGTTTCTTGTTAAAAAAATAGTATGAATGATGGCATCTGTATTTGTCATCTCAAAAACTTGAAAAAGAAGTGAGTTGCTTATACTTCATAAGTTAGATAATTTGTGCAACAAAACACTATTTTTATCCAAATCGTGATTAGTGAATTATATTTCAGAGGGTGTTCTTGGAAGGAAATCCCTATCTCCTGGCAGTTACGATGGTTGTCTCATTACTTCATTCAGTTTTTGATATGCTCGCCTTCAAGAATGGTAAAGAGATCTTCGAGCACTATTTTTCGTCATTGGTAAATATCTATAATTTTGCAAAGCAATCTATGTTCTTTGCTAACTTATGTTGTTGGTTTCTACTTCAGATATCCAATTTTGGAACAAAAATAAGTCTATGGAAGGACTTTCTGCGAAGTCTGTCATTGTCAGCTTTATATCGCAACTGATTGTCTTCTTGTATCTACTTGATAATGATACTTCATGGATGATACTTGCAAGTTCTGGCATTGGTTGCTGTATCGAGTTCTGGAAAATAGGGAAAGCTATGCATATAGAGGTAGCATTTATTTTTAATTTCTTCACTGCTCACAAATATTTTTTTCTGGCTTTTGCTTTTTTAATTTGCTTTTATTATATATACATGTGTTAGTATACGTCACCGTATTATCTTATTAAACAGTATGCTTTCATGTTTGCGAAGTTCTCTTTTCATGCATTCCTTGCGGAAAGCTCTAATGTGATCAGATCCTTAGCATTTCCTTTCTGGTTGTTTATTTCTTTTGTTTTAGTTGCTGTCTATTATTTGCTGCTGCCTTTTTTCAATAGGAAATAGACTGATGACAATTAGAATCTCAATGGAAATTATGGAAACGTGCTAATTTGTATCACAAGATCAAAGAAGCAAAATATAAAGGCCTACTAATCATTCAATAAGTTTAGTTTTCTCTTACATAGGTGATTCAATATTTTTCGCTCAGCTCATACCATTTCTCTCTATTTATGGTCACCACACTTACTCTAACAAACTTACCATGACTCATATGCCCTTAGTAATACTTATATGATTTTATCTTAACAAACCAACCAACTAAGATAACTAATAAAGCTTTTCTCAGTAGTCCTATCATTACTTCACCCAGAAACATACCTTCTCCATAAGATGTTGGTCAAATAATGCCATTTAAATGACGCCAACTCTTTCCCAATCCATGGTGATAGAACAGAGAAACTCTCCAGGAATTCGAGAGTAATTGTTGGCTCTTTAATTAGAAACCTACGTAAATGCAGAGGCAGTAATCTTCCGACCCAAAATCAGTTCAAATGGTGTCCTACTCTCATTTGGAATTATCTTCTTTGGTTTCCCCGGATTTATACATGCTAATCTTTTGTCCTCTCAACCGTGATCTCAATCATTTATATCATAAGTTGGTGTCTCTCTCGTTGTTGATTCCCAACCTTCCCATTTGGAATTTCTTCTTTAGTTTTTGTTTATTTATTATTTGTGAATATTAGCTGGAAATATTAATGGTTATTTTGCAAAAGTGAGTATAACTCAATGGTAACATATATATCTCAAACTAAGAGGGCGTGAGTTCGATTCTCCACCCCCACATGTTGTACTAAAAAAAAATATTAATGGTTATTTTATTCTTATTTCACTTTCTGCATTGAGCCTTACTTCTATATATATAAAAAGGCTATACTTCTATATATATAAAAAGGCTATGTATTTCTTATCTTTAATATACATTGGAATACAAATATTTTTATTCCATCTAAATCAAGTGTTTCCCCTGATTTGGAGTGCCTTTAACAAAGACAGAGGGAAGAAAGACAAATTAGAAGGGCTAAAGTCTCTTTCTTCTGGCTCAATCAAATTCACTAATGAAGGATTGGTTTGTAAGAATTCTTCTTGCGATTTCTTGGATAATGGAGATGATGAAGACGATGTAGTGGTCAGTATCAGGAGTTTGGATTCATCCCGGAAGTCCTTAGAACCTCCTTTTGAAGATCTTTGTGAGAAATCTTTTGAGGAAGACTTTCAAATTCTTTTCATTAATCAATGAGAAGCTCGTATCTTGTTAAAAAAAAAGCGCTTCCCTGATTTGATCCTCTCAATTGTGATCTCAGTCATCTCTATAATGAGTTGGTGCCTTTCCCCATAATCGGTCCCTTGCCTTTTCTCTTTCATCCATCTTTTTTCTAAAAAGAAAAAGAAAAAGGAAGGAATTTCTTTCTAAAAAGAGGGGGAAACAATAAAAGGTGAGGGCTTAAGGCATTCCCTTCCTACCACTCTAAAGGGAGCTTTTAGAAAAGGCCTCAACTTGAATTGCTAACAAGAATTGCTTTAAAATTCCTGTTTCTATCCTTAAAAGTTTTGCTGTTGTTTCTCTCAATCCAAAGCATCGATAGGACCTAGAGTAGGCTACCATGAGACAACAAAGATTCTCTTTCTAAAAGAGAGTCAATTTGAACTATTATACGTCTAAGGCTTTATACTGAAATAATTTCAGAAGTTTTCCTTTCTTTTTCTGTGTCAATAAACAATTTGAATTGCTTGGCTTATTTTAGAACAAATTCAAGTCAAATAGTATTGATTTGAAGGACCACTTTTTATAGTATTTTGGATCCCAAAGGGCTCAACCACATGAATGTGTAAAATACAAGATTTCCCATCCTAGTAGGAAAGGGAAGGAATAGATACTCGAGTAAACAGAATTCCATGCATGATTCGTAGACGACTATTGGCAATCTATACAGTCACTGCTTTGAACGTTGGGATGGGATCAGGCTTTTAATGAAATCTCTTAGTTATATAGTTTATTGTCCTCAAAAAGAAAAGATACGTATGCTGATGGTTGTGTACAAATATTACTTCAATTAATTAGTTTATTTTAGTTGCTTCTTTTGTAGATGATTTCATTTGTCTATTACCCATTTTGTCTCTTTTTTCTGTAAGTGATTATTTTATCTATCCTTGTCCTATAAATGCCTTATTCATATCAACAATGGAACCTTCTATCTTCTTTCATTATCTTTTTCCTTTTATTCCAGATTGATAGGAGTGGAAAGATACCTATGTTGAGATTCCGTGATCGCGAGTCATATGCAGGAAATAAGACCAAGGAGTATGATGATCTTGCAATGAAGTATTTGTCCTACGTGCTATTCTTCCTCGTTGCTTGTTCATCCGTATATTCACTCATGTATGAACAACATAGGAGCTGGTATTCTTGGATTCTCTCTTCACTTACGAGCTGTGTGTACATGTTTGGTAAGTCCTTGCATGTTTGTTGTTTTTTAACTACCTTTTGCACATGAAGTATTAATTTGGAAATATGAAATAAATGATAAATCTTGTTTCTAAGTTGCAATCTGAATCTGTGAGTGCAACTGAATACTTGTAACTGTGTTCTCAGTCTGTTATATCTGAATTTGGATTTCTTTTAGGGTTTATTATGATGTGCCCTCAGTTGTTCATAAACTACAAGCTCAAATCTGTTGCCCATCTACCCTGGAGACAAATGACATACAAGTTCCTTAATACAATCATCGACGATCTATTTGCTTTTGTCATCAAAATGCCAACCCTGCACCGGCTTTCGGTGTTCCGAGATGGTGAGAAAATTATCAATCAAAGTGGGAACTTTTTGTTTTGTTATTATCAAACAGTATATTTGGAAGAGATGTTTTTGATGCCTGTAAATTGGTTGCCCTGCAGATATCATATTTCTTATCTATCTATACCAGAGATGGATGTACCCGGTCGACAGGAAACGTATAAACGAGTACGGTTTTGGTGGCGAAGAAAACGAAAATCAAGTTGCTGAAGCAACAATTGCGAGTGTTGCAAATGAAGATGACAAGAAAACTAATTAACTGCCAATCCTTACATGT